ATACTGATGAGGGTCCTCGTTGATGTTGATGGTTGTTTTGATGCGAGTCATGACCAGTTTTTCAAAGCATTTAGCGACTATCGGGGTGAGGGCCACTGGCCGATAGTCATTCAGACCAGTCACTGTCATTCAGTCATTTCTGAAGCCGTAGAAACATTCAGAAAATGATTTCAACAAGTCAAGGACTTAAACAACAGGACCAACTTCACTCCAGACCAGATCTGCACCCTGCTGGACCTCTACCTCTCCACCGCTTACTTCAAGTACAATGACAGTTTTTACAGACAGAAGCACGGCTGTGCCATGGGATCTCCATTGTCACCCATTGTTGCCATTCTTTACACGGAGGAAGTGGAACAAAGAGCCCAAACTCCTTTGAGGGAACAACACCAAGCCACTGGTTCAGATATACCATACCATACAATACCATACCATTTTATTTATAGAGCACTTAAAACAGTGACAAGACCAACCAAAGTGCTGTACAGACATAAAAACAGGCAACATGCAAAGCAATATACAAAATGAGGTAAATCAGAATATAGACATAAAAACGATGGAGTTAATAAATATGACGACTAACCAGTGTGGAGCATACAGGTTCAAAACACAGATCATCTGGGGTTGAAAGCTACTTAATAGTAGTGGGTTTTTAAACGGGACTTGAAAACCGAGAAGGAAGGGGCCTGTCTGACAAGCAGAGGTAACTCGTTCCAAAGTCTTGGGCCTGCTACTGAGAAGGCCCTGTCACCTCTGCGCTTAAGACGAGTTTCTGGAACTGTGAGGAGCAACTGGTCCGCTGACCTCAGGGAACGTGGTGGGACATACGATTTGTGGATGATACCTGGGTCAAAATCCAAGCTGAGGAAGTAGAAGCGTTCACCAGACACATCAACTCTGTTGACAACATCAAGTTCACCAGAGAGGATGCAAACGACAACAAGCTGCCTTTTTTGGACTGTTTGGTTCACATGGAAAGAGAGGACAGCCTCAACAGTGAAGTTTACAAGAAACCAGTCCACACAGGCTAGTATCTTCTGTTTGACTCTCACCATCCACTAGAACACAAACTCTCTGTCATCAGAACTTTACAGCATTGGGTTAGGGTTAGTTACTCCGCTCCTGTTTCCTGGAATATCTTGTAAAAAGATCTGAAGCTCTCGACCTTGACCTCTCTAAGTGGCTTCAAACATCTGTTAAGTTCCTGGCAAAAACCAATGCAGACATGTTCCTGTTTTTAGTTTTCTACACCGCTTTATGATCTAGCGGTTTTTATCTCTACTTGTCCTTTTGATTGTTCTTTTGGTTGCCATTTTATTTTAACTTTTTTAAAAATGTTCACATCTTTTATGGTTGTCTGTTGTCTTTGTCCACTGTTGTCATCACTCTTTAAAAAATTCAGGTCTCTCTTGGCCCAATGGAATTAACCTGTATAATAATAATAATAATAATGAATTTAATTTGTAATGCACTTTTCATTAACAAAAATCTCAAAGTGCAGAATGCAACTAAAATCATAAATAGTATAAATAAAGGTTGATTGAATGAATTTGATCAGTGCATTAGCTGCCTCCTAAAGCCTATCAAGTTTTTCACAGGATTGTTCAGCCCCATCCACCAAATAATGAACAATTCCAGCTGAGGCCCTCGGCATATCTTTAGGCAGAAACTCGAGCCTGAGACCGGGCTTTGGGGCATAAGCATGCAAAAGCCTGGAAGCAGTCAGACGTCTTTTCTTCTCGGCATTGGCCACTCAAACACTGATCCTGGGGTTTTGTTGTTAAAATACTACCAGGCTTATTCTGGAGGGACAGAAGAAAACAAACTGGCGTGATCTTAGTTCAACTCGGCAACAAATTGAACCTTGGTTTGTTTAATTACAACATTGGTTACCTAGGAGACACACTGTTAAAACCAATTTCTATCACTTTTGTGTGTGTCAGCATCAACAGGAAAATAATTTTTTTAAAGTTTATGAAATGGGATTCCATAGAAAATTATAAATGATAAATATCTTACCTGTTTTAGCTAAAGAGTTAATTTCTGACCAGACTGATGAGCTAAAGGTTCGTTTGGGTCAAGGTTTAGGTGAATAGTTGAGGTTCTAAAACGTTGGTTACGTACTGTAACCCCAGATTCTGAGTATAGGCGTAGCCCTTTAAGGCCCTTGCTAGTGGGTTTTATCCCGTCACGCGAAGTGTATCACTAAAACCTTTAGTCAACGCCCACCTGTTGTGTGGGCCTCACCTGGTCCGTATAAATTACGTTGATAGCGGGTAATCGGCTCCCAAACAGCTTTTTCTTCAGCCATTTAGGAACCTGTGAGGCCCAGAGCTTAAAGGGCTACGCCTATACTCGTAGAATCGGGGGTTACAGTACGTAACCAACGTTCTATTTCATATAGGCTTCGCCCTTTAAGGCCCTCGCTAGTGGGTTAAAGGCGAAGCAGGATGTAGTCTATGCCTCACTGGGTCCGTTCAGACACAATATGAAGCGCCCGCTTGCACCAAAAAACATTTCATCACTCAGCCTTCTATGTGCGTAATTACGCGCACCGTGTACAGGAGCGCCCTGGAGAGATAAGTTTTTGACGGGGGGAACAAAAAGGGGAAGGCTGAAAACAATGAACAGAGCAGATCAACAGCTCTTCATTATGAACAGATTAATAATAAATGAACTGATTAGTAATCAAATGAACTGATTGGTAACAGTAGTCATGAACTGATTAGTAACAATAGAACAAAAAACAACAGTCACAAAATTTGTGACTGATAATAAATATCTCACACTGTAATTGCATGCAGTCAGATGTGAGTTTAAACGAAAATTCCATGAAAACAATAAGATTCTTTCTGTTAAAGCACTGAGGACAGAATGGGCCATGGAACGAGCCGAAACATCACGCAGATAAAAGCGAATAAATGAGCAAGGCGATGACCACGCGGCCGCTGTGCAAATATCCTGCACTGTCATACCATTATGCAAAGCTGTCGAAGATGCAATTCCTCTGGTCAAATGAGCTCTTAGGTTGTCAGGGGGCTCTAAACCTGATGCTCTGTAAGCTTCAGAAATGGCCTCGCAGCCAGTGTGACAGACGCTGGGTAGATAACCGACGACCCGCAGAGGCGTCTCTATAATGTACAAATGGATGTTGAGTCTGACGCAGTGTGGCCGTGCGTGTTATGTAACATGCCAGTGCATGCACAGGGCAGAGGAGATGAAAAGATGCTTCTTCTTCTGATTTGTGGGGAGGAGGAAAGAACCCCTCCAATGTTATCATTCTCGATTTAATTTAGGCATAAAAGTTGGGTTAGGTCTCAGAGCAGCTGAGCTGCCATCAGCTTGAATCCTGAGGCATGACAGGGCAACAGAGCGCGTGGATAAATCACTCTCTCTTTGCAGATGTCAAAGCCAACAGCAGGGCTGTTTTAAGTGACAAGAATTTAATTGAAACCTGATCTAAAGGTTCGAAAGGAGTCCTGATACATTCACTAAGTCATTCACATATAAAATAAATAACTTTGGTCCAAGTACAGAGCCTTGAGGAACTCCACAAGTGATATTGCACAGGTCAGACCTTACACCATTTATTTGTACAAACTGTTTCCTATCTTTTAAATAGCTAGATACCCAGTGTATTGCTGGTCCTCTTATACCATATTTATTTAATTTTTCAAGGAGAATAGTGTGGTCAATAGTATCGAATGCTTTTTTTAAATCAACAAAAATACTAACA